GCTGGAGAGGAGGGATGGGTCCAGGGAAGGTTTTTTCTGGATGGGAGTGATGACGGCTGTTTTTAGGGGGGTGGGAACTGAACCGGTGGACAAGGAGAGGTTGATGACGTTGGACAGTAGAGGGGTCAGAAGGTGGAGCTGGGAGATGAGGAGAGAGATGAGGATGGGATCGAGGGAGCAGGTGGTGGGTTTGAGTTAGAGAACAATCGCAGAGAGGGAGGAGGTAGAGATAGGGTCGAAGGAGTATAGGGGGATGGGTGGGGTGTTGGTCATGAGGGAGAGGTAATGTGGGGTGATGGTGGACGGGGCTGAGGTGGCTGAATGTATCCCCTCAATTTTGGATTCAAGGAAGTCAAGCATCTCCTCACAGTTGGAGTTTGAGGAGAGGATGGGCGAGGCGTGGCAAGGTGGACGGAGGAGACGGTTTGTGGTGGAAAAGAGAAGCCTGGGGTTGTCCTTTGCCTCCAAGATAACCTTGGAGTAGAAGGAGGATTTGGTGGAGGAAAGAGCGCAGCGGTAGGTCTTGGTATGGTGAAGCCAAATCTGCTGATGAACCATAGTTTGGATTTGGTCCAGGCGCGTTCAGCAGCTCGCACTTGTGCCTTGAAGAAATGGAGGTGGCTGGTGTACCAGAGGGATTTACAGGAGTAAGAGGCAGTTTGGGAGGTGAGGTGGTCAAGGGAGTCCAGAATGGAGGAGAGGGAGTTGTGGAAAAACAAGAGTGAGGAGGGGAGATCGGTCAGGGAGGGCCAGAGGTGTGGGAGTTCAGATGACTCCAGGGCAGTGGAGAGGGACAGGAAGGAAACTTTTTTCCATGGACATTATGTGATGGTGGAGGGTTGAGAAAGGGGAAGGGATATGGAGGTGCTGAAGGAGATGAAGTGGTGGTCCGAGATGGCTTTATCGATGATGGTGATGTCGGAGACGGTGAGGCCCCGGGTGATCACCAGGTCAAAGGAGTGGCCACAGTATTGGGGAGTGGATGAGGATGAAGAGATTAAGGGAAGAGAGGAGGGAAGATAAGTCAGCAGAGGTAGAGCAAGAGGGTGTGAAGTGGAGGTTGAAGTCGCCTAAGATTAGGAGGCGTGCAGAGCAGAGGGAGAGGGAAGATAGGAGGGTGGAGATGTCCGAGAGGAAGGTGGGGAAGGCTTGGGGGGTCAGTAAAGAAGGAGGATTTTGAAGGAAAACCTGGAGGGGTGGTAGAAAGTAAGGTGTTCAAAAGAGGGGAAGGTTCCAGAGGAGAAAGGGGAAAGGCCTAGGGGGGACCAGGAGATGAGCGCCACACCACCGCCACAATGATTAGGCCATGGGGTTTGGTGAAAAGTGTAACCTGGAGGGTCAACTAGTGGGAAGGTGTCGTCTGGGGTGACCCAGGTTTTGGTGAGGGCGAGGAAATCAATATTTTTCAGTCTGACATCAGTGGTAGGGAAGATGGTACTTAGAAGACCATAATATGATGAGGCAGAGTCAACATGGCTTTACAAAAGGAAAGTCATGCTTATCAAATCTTTTAGAGTTTTTGACGATGTAACTAGCAGGTTAGATAGGGTGGAGTAAACTCTAAGGATGACACAAAAAAATTGCAAAGGGATTATAGATAGGCTAGGTGAGTGGGCAAGAAGATGGCAGATGGAATATAATGTGGGGAAGTTTGAAGTTATTCACCTAGGTAGTAAAAGCAGAAAAGCAGATTATTTTCTAGAAGGGGAAAGATTAGATAGTGTTCGTGTTCAGAGGGATTTGGGTGTCCTTGTACATCAGTCACAAAAAGTTAATATGCAGGTACAGCAAGCAACTTGGAAGGCTAATGGCATGTTGGCATTTATTGCAAAAGGGTTAGAATACAAGAGCAGGGAATTCTTGCTGCAACTGTATAGGGCCTTGGTGAGACCGGGCCTAGAATACTGTGTGCAGTTTTGGTCTCCTTATTTAAGAAAGGACATACTTGCCTTAGAGGGGGTGCAGCATAAATTCACTAGGTTAGTTCCTGGGATGAGGGGGTTGACCTATGAGGATAGGTTGAGTAAACTAGCCTATATTCTCTAGAATATAGAAGAATTAGGGGTGACCTTATAGTAACATATAAGGTTCTTATAGGGCTTGACAGAGTAGACAGTGTGAGACTGTTTCCCTGGTAGGAGAATCTAGAACTAGGGGCCACAGTCTTAAGATTAAGGGTCAGCCCTTTCCAACAGAGTTGAGGAAACACTACAGAAGGCTGCAGTTGCTCAATCCTTGAACATATTCAAGACTGAGATTGATAGGTTTCTAAAGAATAAAAGGATTAAGGGATATGGGGATAACAACAACAACAACAACAAGATTCCATTTATAAAGCACCTTTCACGTCAGGAGGACGTCCCAAGGCGCTGCACAGTTGGGTCATGACCCGAGCAGGGGGAAATGGTCAGGGTGAGGGGAGGGAGTGAGGAGGGGGAAATGGTCAGGGTGAGGGGAGGGATGGGAGGGAGCGAGAAGGGGAAAGAGAGGCGAGAGGGGAGCTGAAGGCTCGGTCAAAGAGAAAGGTTTTGAGACCGGCCTTGAAGGAGGAGAGGGAGGAAGCAAGGCGAAGGCACTGGGGGATAGAGTTCCAGAGCCTCGGGGCTGAGAGACTGAAGGCCCGACCACCGATGGTAGGGCGATTGGGGCGGGGGATGTGGAGCAGACCGGAGTCAGAGGAACGGAGGGTACGGGCAGGTAGGTAGGGGGATAGTAGGTTGGAGAGGTAGGAGGGAGCGAGGCCGTGAATGGCCTTGTAGGTGAGGATGAGTATCTTGAAATCAATCCTCTGGGGGATGGGGAGCCAGTGGAGGCGAGCGAGGGTGGGAGTGATGATAAGGCGGGCAGATGGAGTTAGGTTAGAAGATCAGCCATGATCTTATTGAATGACGGGGCAGGCTCAAGGGGCTAAATAGCATACTCCTGCTCCTAATTCCTATGTTCCTATGTTCCTATAGAGCGTTAGTCAGACCCCATCTGTAGTACTGCATTCAGTTTTGGGCACCACACCTCAGGAAAGATATATTGGCCCTGGAGTGGGTTCTGCGTAGGTTCACCAGAATGTTACCAGGCCTAAAATGATTAATTTACGAGGAAATGCTGTGTAAACTTGGATTGTATTCCCTTGAGTTTAGAAGTTTGAGGGGTGATTTGATTGAGGTATTTAAGATAATAAAGGGATTCGATAGGGTAGATACAGAGAAGCTATTTCCTCTGGTGGGGGAATAAAAAACAACATTTTTTCACTCAGTGTGGTAGAAATCTGGAATTCTCTTCCCAAGAGACCGTGGATGCTGGATGCATCCATACCTTGAAGAGTGAAGTTGATAGATTTTTGGTAGGTCAGAGTATTAAGGGATATGGGGAAAAAGCGGGAAATTAGAATTGAAAGGATTAGCTGAGGTACAGATCAGTCATGATCTAATTAAATGGCAGAACAGACTCAAAGGGCTGAACGGCCTCCTCCTGTTCCTCCTGCTCCTCTGTTCACGAGCGGCAGAGTCTTGGAGCTTAGAGAGCTTATTACAAATGGCATTTGAAGATTTGTTTGTGCACAACACTGAAACACACACCGATTTCCAATGCCTAATGATCAGTTTCACAATTCAACAGATATTTAGCTATATGATGATACACTTGATGCAAAGATTTACAATGGGCAATCTTAAAACACGTTTTCATTGCTATTTACATTCAAACGTTTTACGTTGGCGACTGCACTTTGCTTTCAAATAGGTCCCATCCCCCAATTTGCCCCATGGCAACTGCACCAGGAGTTAATGTGTGAAAGCAACAGGACTAGATTATTCAGTCATATGATTGTCACTAACTATGTTCAACCAAACAATGGTATGTGTGAGTCTGCATCAGGCAACATTGGACATGTCAATGTTCAGGAAAACCATCCAGTTTCAGGCAAATCAAAGGACAGACTTGATTTGGTTAAAACCAATGCTCTCATTGACCTCCTTGGTTCCACCCAGTTTTTGCACACTTCAGCACTTTGGGACTATTTGAAAAGAGAAGGTATCCTGGTCAACAATCTTCCAGATCAAAATTTGATCATTCACTTCATAGCTGTTCATAGAATGTTGCTACGCATAAATTGGCTACTGCGTTTGCTGATAAATACAGTCTTCACTTCACTCTTGGGATGCACTTTGAGACGTCTTGACAACATGAAAAGGCACTATATCAAAGACAAGGATTATTATTATTTACAATTCTACGGTTTTGTCATTGAATCCTGACTATCTTTGCTAGTTCTGTCTCCATCAGAGAATTACTTTCAATATTCTTGTTTTCAAATATCTCCACTGGATATTGACATTTGTGCCGTCTTTTATTGTCCACATCCCAGCTTATTATTATTGTTGTTGTTGTTATTATTATTATTATTTCACTTTCCATCTTTCTGAATCAGGTTTATTGATTAAGCCCTATTCTTTTATACCTTTATTCCCTCTGAAACATTTGTGTCTCCTAGAGCTCACTTTTTGAAACTGTTTTATTTGACTTGCTCCCTCTTTCACTGCTTTCAAAATTCTTCTTGGTCGATGTTTTCAGTCACCTCAGAATTACTTCTTGTTGTGTGTAATTGGCTGCCATGTTTTGCCCACAAGATACACAATTGATCTTACAATATATTCTGTGAAGCGCTTTGAGATGTCTCAATGACGTAATAAGGTGTTATATAAAATGCAAGGATTATTATTTGAAAAAACATTTTAAAATAGGAACAGTGAGCTACAAAGCAAGAAGTGAGAGTAATTCTGAGGTGACTGAAAACATCAATGAAGAAGAATTTTGAAAGCAGTGAAAGAAGTAGCAAATCAAACAGTTTCAAAAAGTGAGCTCCAGGAGACAAACATAGTTTCACAATGAAATTGTGGTAGAATTTCAAATGGAAATTATTTTGTTTTATAATTTCAACAGAACCACGTTAGACTACAAGTACATTTTCATGATACTTGCTGATAGTTTTTCTGCTTCTGTTGCAGTGGGATCTTGTCTGTGACAGTAACTGGAAAGGACCATTATGTACATCGATGTTTTTCATAGGTGTGCTGTGTGGTTCATTCCTCTCGGGACAACTTTCTGACAGGTACAACATGTTTTCCGTGAGAAATCACTAAAACAAATTTGGAATTTAACGCTGAACTGCTAATGTTAGTTGTTGTTATCATGAAATGTGAACTGGATAAGATCTGGTTTAAAGTAAAACCAAAGTTATTTTTTTTCAAAAACAAGGGTAGAACCTATTTGTTGAACTGACTCTTGCCTCTGGGTTAGAAATTGTTGTTTCCAGCTCCACATCGGGACTTGAATTCATAATCTCGGCTGACGGACAGTACTGGGGAAGCACTACATTGTCAGAGGTGTCGCCTTTCTGGTGAGACATTAATCTGATTAAGTGGGCTCTAAAGATCCATGAAACCATTCGGATAGAGAAGAATTATCTAGGTGCTGTAGCCAAAGATGCTTCAGGGCTCTTCATCACATGGATTTATTGTGCAATGACTGCTTTATTTGCCAACAAAGTCAGTAATTACACTTGAAAGTAATTATATGTGAAACATTTGGACATATTTTGGCTTGATAAGACATTATAAAACCATTAGTTATTTCTGATCAAAACTACAGAATTGTCATGTACAGAGTTATATTGTATACTATGTACTAAATACAATACATGAATAGAGGAGAGTATATCCAAGCTTTCTGGTGACACTGAACTGGGAGGGGTTTAAACATTGCAGAGATATAGTCTGATTAAGAAAGTGTATGGAACTATTGCAGATGGAGTTCAATTAAACAAAGTGTCAGGTAATACACTTTGGATGTAATAATGGCAGATGGGAGTGTATTATAAGTGAGTGAAATAAAACTCAAACCCACCCAACCTGTCCCACCATCAGTGGATAAGCTTTTATCCATTCTGCCTCTGCTCTCTGGAACTCCATCCAGGAGTCACTCCACCCCATCCCTCTCCTTCTTCACCTATACAGCTGCCTCTGGACTGATGAAATTCTGTTCAGTTGACCACTATCCTGCCTATATTGGAAAATTATTCAACATTTGTACCTCTGCACTGAACATTTGTACCATTGCTGTTGAATGTGTTTGTTTTAACATCCTTGCAATTTCTGGTGTCCTGTCTCATGCAACTGTGGAGAAAGGAGAGGAGTAACCAGATAGCCATTGTAAGCAGAAGTAAGACAAGCAAAAATATCTGTGAGTGTGATAACCAGATGACTTTGTCACATGGTTGGAGCAAGGATGGCAGCAGTAAGGATGAATATAGTAAGCAAGTCAGGTATAAATTGCCTAGAGCATCTGGTGCTTGTTAGAACAGACTCGAGAAGACAGCATGCTGAAGTCACCATACCTCTGTTCACCCGATTGAGTAACTATAATCTGTCTGACTTTGCTGACTAATAAATAAGTTGAACTCTGTTGTTGATATGAGCTTGATTATCTGGTGTTCGAAACCCCAAAATTCAAGCCCAAGATTCTCTCTCCATCTCACTCTCCGTATTCCTCTCCACCCTCTCCCTCGCCGCTTCTCTCTCTCCCTCTCACCATCTCTCCCTCTAGCCATCTATTCCTCTTGTCCCCACTTCCATCTTTCCCTCTTGTCCTCTTGTTCTCCCCAGTCTCCCTTTTGCCCACTTTGTCTCTCCCCCTCACCTCCGACTCCATCTACCTCTCTGATTCCACCCTCCATCTCCTTCTTGGCGTCGTCCCTCCATGGTCTTTTGCCCACCTCTTCCTCTTCATCTATCCCCTCTCCCTAGGTGAAAGGAAGCAGAATATTGCATCCCACTGGCTCCCTTCTTTGGTTCCTTCTTTAAATCCCTCCACAGTCTCGCCCCACCCTATCTCCGAGCTCTCCTTCAACCCTGCTAACCAACCTGGTTGCTCCCTTTGCCTGCTTCATGTGCTCTGCTGACCGGCAAATAGGTTTTCAGCCATTCTGCCCCCACTTTCCTGATACCCTCCATCCCCTAATATTAGGTGTGTCTTAAGTCATGCCTGTTTGGCCGCGCTGATGGTGCCCCAACCCCAGTTTGGGTGCATGGACAATATTGACGAGTGCTTTTAGATGTCTCAGATGGAAAAGATGGAATATAGATGTAACTCGTAATGTGTCAGCCTGGCTCAGTTGTCACAATATCGCTTCTGAGTCAGAAGATTGTAGGTTCAAGCCCACAATCATGTTGGAACTTGAAATCACATAGTCTAAACTGACACTCCAATACAGACTAGCTGAGGGTATGTTGCATTAATGGAGGTGATGTCCTTCAGATGAGATGTTAAACCGAGATCCCGTCTAACTGTCGAGGTGGATATAAAATATCCCATGGCACTATTTGTTAGGTCAGGGTATTAAGGGATACGAGGCAAGGACGGGTAACTGTACTTGAGTTACAGATCAGTCATGATCTTATAAAATAGCGGAACTGGCTCAAGGGACTGAATAGCCTACTCCTATTTCTATGTTTCTATTGAAAAAGAGAAGGCAGTTTCTCCCTGTGTCCTGACCAAAAAATCCCCAAATAAAATTGGTCACTCTCTCTTTTTTGTTATCAGCCAGGTATCTGACACTTGGAGAAATCATCATCATGCTTAAGAGTAGCCAAACTTAGCTGAGATTTCAATGCATCCCACTTACACATGGAAGATCCAGGGATAGATTGTTGGAATGGAATGTGAACTCTCTCTCTGGAGGGATGCATCCTGCTTACATAATTCTGGAAAGTGTTAAGTGCAGGTTGGTAAGAGCTAAGGCTTGGGGACTCCATAGTGTGGTTGGGATACGGCTGGAGTCTAACCACTAAAACCGCATAACTTGCCATTGATGTTGCTATCTGGCAAACTTTCTTGCTGCTTGTCCAGCTGGGATCACCTAACCTGTTAGGGCTTTGGCTTACAAAGTTAATGGGAAGATGAGTGGAATGACACCCTGCCCCCAGTAACTGGTCTTCTCTTCAAGGTCCTGCCGATGAGCCAGGTCGGCTATGCCATCATCAGCAGTGCCCAGTAATACTGCGGACCCGCCTGGCTCAGGAACTGGACTACCGAGACTGCCACAGTGGGCTGGCTCAATTCCGACATTCTGTTGCTAAGCATTTCACTGTTGAATCAGTTCAGCTCAATGGAGATCCCACTTGCCTCCCCAACCCCCACCCGAGCTCAGTTTCCCTTTCCATGGCTGTTTGTGGGACATTGCTGTGTGCAAACTACCTGCCATGAGTCGCCCATAAAATACACAGTCAATGGACTTGATAATATATTCTGTGAAGCTTTTTGAGACATCTCGATGAAGTAATATCAGGTGCTATGTAAAATGCAAGGAATATTATTATTATTTAGAGTCAACATGTCGTAAAACTTTCTTTTCAACTGTGTTTTTGTTTACATAGAAACATAGGAACATAGGAATTAGGAGCAGGAGTAGGCCATTCGGCCCCTTGAGCCTACCCCGCAATTCAATAAGATCATGGCTGATCTTCTAACCTAACTCCATCTGCCCGCCTTTTCCCCATATCTCTTAATTCCTCTATCCTTTAGAAACCTATCAATCTCAGTCTTGAATATGTTCGAGGACTGAGCATTTACAGCCTTCTGGGGTAGAGAATTCCATAAATTCACTAACCTCTGAGTGAAGAAGTGTTTCCTCAACTCTGCTCGAAAGGGCTGTCCCTTAATCTTAAGACTGTGGCCCCTAGTTCTAGATTCTCCTACCAGGGAAACAGTCTCACATTGTCTACTCTGTCAAGCCCCATAAGAATCGTATATGTTACTATAAGATCAACCCTAATTCTTCTATATTCTAGAGAATATAGGCCAGTTTACTCAACCTATCCTCATAGGTCAACCCCCTCATCCCAGGAACTAACCTAGTGAATTTATGCTGCACCCCATCTAAGGCGAGTATGTCCTTTCTTAAATAAGGAGACCAAAACTGCACACAATATTCTAGGCCCGGTCTCACCAAGGTCCTATACAGTTGCAGCAAGAATTCCCTGCTCTTGTATTCTAACTCTTTTGCAATAAATGCCAACATGCTATTAGCCTTCCGAGTTGCTTGCTGTACCTGCATACTAACTTTTTGTGACTGGTGTACAAGGACACCCAAATCCCTCTGAACACTAACACTATCTAGTCTCTCCACCTCTAGGAAATAATCTGTTATGTCTGTTCCTCAGCTTTCCTCTACTCCTACCCCAGCTCGGGCTCCCAGATGATTTTTTAAAGTACTTTGTGAAGTCTTCCTGATGTGAGATGCATATATAAACACAGAACTGTTCATAATGTTAAATAATAATAATAATTCTTACATTTAATATTGTGCCTTATCACATCATCAAGATGTCTCAAAACTCTTCACAGAATATACTGTAAAGTGAATTGACTGTATATTTTGTGGACGAAACCCAGCAGCCAATTGTGCACAGCAATGTTCCACAAACAGCCATGGGTGAATGACCAATTTTATTTAGTAGTTTGTTGGCCAGGACACTGGGAGAACTCCATTCTCTTTTCGAATAATGCCATTAACATCTACCTAAACAGGCAGATGGGAACTCAGTTTAACATCTCATTGAAAGACGGATCAGTCTTGTGTGAGTACAAATTACCCAAAGCATTTGCATTGTTGCTGCTGGGATTCATGAAAATGTAGGTCATAGTTTGGTATAAATAAAAATTAATATGTATTTCAGAGGCACATTCAATTTAACCGCAGTCACTGACTTAGCTTTTTTTGCTGCTGCTGTATTAACCTCAGTCACTATCTTATCTTGCCTTTATAGCCTTGAACAATCAGTCCCAAGCTGGGTCACACAGTCAATCCACTCTGCAATATATTCTGTGAAGCGCTTTGAGAAGTCTTCACGATGTGATAAGGTGCTGTATCAAATACAAGGATTATTATTCTAAGGTAAACAACTCAGCCAAAGAAAATAAAAAAGGCAGCGAAGCAAAATAAAATGAAAACAAAAAAATTCTACTTGTAAACACAGACAGAAAGACGCTTTGACAAAATGAGCATTGGAAAATACAGGAAAATATATAAGATAGAACTGCAAGGAAAAATAAACTTCAATATGCAAACCAAAAAGAGGAAGAAACCAAAAGGAAACGACAAAGTTGTGGAACAATACAACAAAATCTAAGAGGGACAAATCAAGAAAAAAGGGGAAATGAAACTTTCTGTTACATTGTACATTACATTATGTCCATCTACAAATAATAGTAATATAATAATAATCCTTGCATTTGGTGTAGCTGCTTATCACTTTGTTGAGACATCTCATTGTGCTTCACTGGATATACTGTAAAGTGAATTGACTGTATTTTGTGGACAAAATGTGGCAGTTGCGGACAGCAATATCCCACAAACAGCCATGGATTGATTGATCAATTTTATTTGGGGGATTGTGTTGGAAGAGAGAAATTCCCTTCTGTTTTCGAATAATGCCATGGGATCTTTAACATCCACCTGAATAGGCAGACGGGATTTCAGTTTAACATCTCATCCAAAGGACAGGAAGAAAGATAAGAATAAAAATAGAAAAATAAAAAGAAAGAAAATAATTGGATTGCTTAAAAAAAAGTAACTTCACTGATGTCTGAATACGCTTTTACTTATTTTCTTTTAAAGGTATGGGAGAAAAAATATTCTCTTTGCATCAATGGGGGTGCAAGCTGTCTTCAGCCTTATTCAAGTAGCCTCTCAGAGCTGGGAGATGTTCTGCGTTTTGTTCTTTCTGATTGGTCTCGGACAAATTTCGAATTATGTCGCTGCTTTTGTTTTAGGTAAGTTTATTTCAAAGCTATTGCAGAAATCGTGCATTAGGTTTACACCAAATTCTGATCATGTTTCAATCATTTTCTCCTTTTTATGTTGTCTTCTCCGTAATGTTTTGTCTTCATGATACAAGCTTCAAGGCTGTAAATGTCTGGGATTATACTTCCACACTGCTGTCAATCAGCCAAGAGGTTGCGACAAGCCTCTATGTGATATTTACTTCAGCTAAGGCAATAAAGCTTGTCATCAATGGGTGTCTGTCCAGTAAATGGTAACTTTCTTTCGATATGCATTATTTAATTTAAATACCATGAATTTTAATTGCATTATTGATATCCTTTGTGGATATATGTGCAAAATAGATCCCTTGAGCCTTCTGATGACCCAGATCACAACACAGTGTGGAAAGAAGACTCACACATTGTGAGCAATTGGCTGCTGTGTTTTGCTCACAGTCAATTCACTTTACAGTATATTCTGTGAAGTGCTTTGACTCAAAGGCGTGATATGACGCTATATCAAATGCAAGAATTATTTTTATTATTTATTAAGAATGCCATTTGTGTGAGTTACTGGAATTTTGCTCGCCCCAATGGAACCATGCTCTAGAAGAAAAGGAGGGTAGTAGAGGGAGTAAATTCAGAAAGCTAGGTTGATAGATAGTCTATTCATTGCAAAACTTTAAACAATTGATTTGAATTAGACTTATTGCCTCAGTTGTGACACTGAGAAACCAAACCAAACTTTCTGAGCCATTAAATACATTAGAAAACTCAGCATGTACACTAATTGGGGCGACCCCACTTACTTAACAGTATGGATATGAGGTCATCATGCAAAACACAAGTTGTGTACAGTACCAAATGAAAACGTCTTCCATCAAGAGTTACGAAGGCCTTTAGTGTCACACTGGAGCTGTGCGCTCACCCTTTCTTTGTCTTTCCATTTTTCTCTTTGTCATACTCTCTCTGTCTCTCTCTCACTTTCCCTCTCTCTTTCCCTCTCTTGACTATCTTTACCAAGATATTGTTAGAATTTAAATATTAAAGTACAAAAGGAACCAAGCTCATTGTCAAATCTGTGAAGGTTGCTTTTAGAAAACTTGGTTTCCCAATGTCTTATGCCTTTGTTTTGCTTATTGTAGCCAAGATTAGTGCATGTTGTTACTAGCCTGGTCTCTCCCAGGACTTCTGTATATGTGCCTTTGTTTTGGTGATATAAGGACATAAGTAGACAAAACAATTGGTGAAATGAACAATGAAAATATCAATGGTAAAATGAATTTGATCAAAAGTTGAAGGAGTATTTTAAAACATTTAGAAAGGCAACAAACAGTTTGCTCATAATCTCCATACAAATTGTTTGGTGATGCTTTCCATGAAGTGTTGATCCAGCTGTGAGATTATTTCTCTTTTCCTTTGATGAATTGTTAATTTCTACTTATTTTTTGGTTAAGATTGTTGAATTTAAAATTATATTAAAAATTACATCAGGATATTGTTATAAATGTTATTTAATGGCTCTTCTCAACAGGAACCGAGCTCCTTTGCAAATCTGTGAGGGTTGCTTTTGGAACACTTGGCCTGCCAATGTTTTACGCACTTGGCTACATGCTTCTCCCTTTTATTGCATATTATATCCGAGATTGGTCCATGTTGTTACTAGCCTTGTCTCTGCCAGGACTTCTGTATGTACCTTTGTGGTGGTGAGTTTTCTTTAATTGATTAGCTATTCAATATTATAATAATAGTAACATTCCTTATATTTCATATAGTGCCTTGCAAATCAGGAGGATTTACAGTACTGTAGTGACTGTGTTTTTTGCAGATGAATGTGGCAATCAACATGTAGCTTTTTCAAATAATGTTTCAAGTGTTTCAATTGTTTAATGCTGCTTTAAGAGCTGTTCTGAGTGTTAATGCTTTGAAGCATCAATACACACTGATCCAGAATGGTGAGGAACATATTCAGTCTTCCCTTTAGTCTCGCTCAGTTCCTGAGTTAATCTCATCTTTTGCCAATTGGTTTAAAGTTTGGTAGCGGCTTACTTTCTTTTGCTCTGGGCTGCAGTTGATGTATGACCAGGGAAAGACTGTAAAACCCTCTGAAAGACCAGTGACAGTGACAACCAAACATAGTGTTTTCTTAATCAAATGTGTTGGTTAATTTATTCAATATGAGGACTTTGTAAGAAGGAAATTAAATATTAAGTGAGATAAGGATTCCACAATCTTCCACAATGTCCTGGGAAAGAGTGAGTTGGAATAGGAGACAGTGTGATAGTCATTGATTTCGCCCAGTAAACATACAGGTAGGAAGAAGAGTACAGGAGATGACATTTTGAAGTTAGGCAGCAACAAAAGAACACTATGGCATTATAAAAAAAATAGAAAGAGACAGAGGTTTAGTCATTGCAGACTAGGGAGGATCACATGTCCACATATCCATGCAGCAAACATAATTGTTTAGGGATAGTGTCATCCAAGGTTTCTTTCGTAGAGGTAATGAATGTTGGTTTATGTATGATATCCATCTGAATGGGCAGATGGGACCTCTAATTAAAGCCTCACCTGAAGGACAGTACCTCTGATAATCAGTGCTGCCCCTCAACAGTACATTGTCAGTCTAGCTGGTGAGCTCAAATTCCTGAAGCAGGACTTCAACCCACAGTAGAGAATGCTACAACCGAGCCAGGCTGACACGTGCTATCCAACACGCTCTTACACCTTAACAATTATTAACATTGATTGCTAAGTATTTTTATGATGACTGTTAATGTCACATCTATGTGTTTTTTATTTCAGGTTTATACCTGAGTCTCCCAGGTGGCTGCTTGTGCAAGGTCGAGTGGAAGAAGCAGAGGTCATTGTTAAAGCTGTGGCTAAAAGAAATGGCATTACACATGTAGGAGTGATATTCAACAATGAGGACCTTTTGGTAATTTATTACTTTGCTTTTTGGTAATTTATTACTTTGCTTTTTTGCATCAATGTCTGAGATAGGGATTTTACATTTATTTTTAACCATTGACAGATTTACAAGTGAACATCCTCTCTTTCCTCCCCTCTCCCCCAGCACTTTTATTTCAGCACTCCATGATGCTATCTTATGTGAAAGGGCTATACAAATGTAATCTTGTTGTTGTCTCCATCTTTGATTCCTGCTTAGCAGTATTGGGACCGGATACTATTCATTCAACCTTGGAGGCAGGGTTTCTTGAACTGTCTGCTTGCACCACTCTCTCTTTCTCTCCCTCCCCACAACACAAGGAATTCAATACTCAGATTACAAAAGCTGCTGCTTATTTGCTAATGTTCTTGCTTTAGTATACGTAAATCGTGCATACTTCAAACAAATTGTTTCTTTTGCTCTTCTTGCTCCAGAATCCTGCAAAAAATGAGAAGAGAACTCACAATTATTTGGATTTGGTTAGAAGTTCTAACATAAGAAACATCACAGTCTTGTGCTCTTTTATATGGTGAGTGGTTGCTTTATGCGGAATGAATTGAACTACAAAAATGTTTTCCCATCCAAATATGTGAAATCAGTAATAGATTTACACTGTTGTGTATAGTTCAGTATTAATATTGAATACTAATGTAAACACTAATATTTACTACTTTTAATGTCTCAGGTGAAGAATCTAAGTCAGTTATCTGGAATCTTGTTTACTTGTGCAATTCACAAGAACAGTTCGGATGAAGAAGGCCCATCTGATCTTATTCCTCTAGAATAGTCACCTTACTGTTCTCCCATCACAGCATCAAGCTGCTTTTTAAATGAGTCTAGTGACCTGGTCTCAACTACCCCTCCTGGTCACCTGTTCCAGGTCATGAATTACCCTCTGAGTAATTGCCCTCTGTTTATTTGACCGCCCCATTGGCCACCCCCCTGACTTCGGGAGGAAAATTGGCCAATGGTGCAGTCAAATAAATAGTTTTTAAGATGTGTTTGGAAAATGAAGAGAGAGAGAAGGATTTTGTCAATTGCTCAGTGTAAGTAAACATAGAAAAATGACTGTAAAGATGGAAATATGAGGTTAAATTTGCTGGTTCAATCCTTGTTGTAACCTTGAAATCACTCCATTGTTTCCGCACGTGTTAGACACCTGACCGAGCAAAACAAATCTTATCTCTTGAGGCAAAGTACTCAGGATAAATAATCCTATGGCTATCTCTGGATGCATTTCCTGCTACATGTTCCCAATGGGGAATGATGGACTGTTTACACTGGCCACCAATATGGTTTTACCTTAACTGTGTGAACTTTTGAAACCAAAGAAATACAGGCGCTCCCTCCGCTCAGCGGACACTGGCCAGCTTCACATCCCTGCCCCACCCACCACATCATAGGTGGCTGTGCTTTCAGCCGATTTGCACAGACCTGCATCCTGGAATCTCAATGACTCACCCCTTCCCTCGCCACAAGACCTTCCTCTTCGATCCGTATTCTGTTATCTTGCCAGATCCTGCTCAGGTGCAAACTCCAGACTGTCCATCACCTGGCATATCCTACCGACGTAAAAGGCACAACATAAATGTAAATTTGTTCTTGTTTGGTATTGATCACTGATGTTAAATATTGGTGTTCAGTGTGTAATCATACTAAACAAATGGAATGTAAGTTTTAACTCCATACAAGGAGTGTAAATAATCAAATTTCTCTGCTAATGTTTAAACACCATATTAAAGTTTGAACGGGTACCTCCACAGCCAAGATCAAGGACCTAGGTTCAGTCTGTTTCCTGCAATCTTTTCCATTGACTAGCCTGCTAGCAGCTGATCTGGAGAAGCGGTTGTGTGGATCAGAGGCTGGGAGCAGAGCTCTCATTATGAGATGAGATTTTAAGCTGACTGTTAAGAACTATATTTGCATATGTTTCTTAACATTTTCTTCTGCTCATTAAGATAAACCGCGTGTGACAGAACACTTTTACCCCGTAGAGTAAAACAAATAACTCTGAGATGGATCAAACCGGTTCTGAATAGAATACTGGTACCTGATTTTCATCTTTCTCGTTGCATTAAATTACATGGAATGTACAGCACTAAAACAGGCCATTAGATCATGAATCTCCAGCCCTCCTAATCCTCCCTCCTTATTCCCCTCGCAAACTATTTGTTCTGATGAAGCAGATGTTTTTTTGGTTGTAGCGCTTACAGTAATAGTAATTTTTTTTGTTTAAGAATTGTTTTCTGGACTCAGTCGGATTAAGAAAGGAGAAATTCATGCTCCACTGGCTCTGGATGTAGTTTCATGACGTTGATCGAGGCTTCCAGCTAGAACCTTGTGGCTGCTCAGATTTGTAGTGAATATGAGTCTTGCAAAAAGATCATCACCAACCTAACCATAGAAATTGTGTATTGGGTGGAGATGTCAGAGCAAAAACAAGAAAAATGAAAGGAATTTACTCTCAAATTAGTAAATTATAACCGTAAACAAAAGTTTTTCTTTACAGGATGATTTTAACCATGAGTTACTTTGGGTTATCTCTGAACACGTCTAACATGAACGGAGATCCCTACATCAACTGTTTTATTAGTGCAACTTCGGAAATTGCAGCTTCCACAGCTGCCTGGTGGCTGCTGCGCACATCACCTCGAAGAATTGCAACTGCTTCTCTTTTGTTACTTGGTGGAACTCTGCTGCTGCTGACCCAATTGATGCCTTCAAGTAAGTGCTTAAACTAGCTGTTTGTGGAGTTCTCACTCCTATCTAATAAAGCCCTCATTGCCACAAACACATTGTGGATGAAAAATTGACATCCTTACTGTCACTTTAACCTGGATCATTTCCCCTTACTGAGGCCACGCCACCTGGCTATACCTTCCATCATGCCCTGCAACCCAACCGTTTTGGTGGTGGTTTGAACCTCATCTCCAGGTCCTCGCTGGGTCTATCCTCTTACCCTTCTAGACCCTTCTCCTCATTTGAGCACCTCACTCTCTACCATCCCTCCTTAATAATCCTTCTCATTTGTCGTTCTTTCCAAACCCTTCTCCAATTTCCTCTCTGACAACTTCATCCTCTTGTCTTCCCTCTGCATCTGTTCTGAAAACCTCATCATCTTGTGCAATTTTAACCTCCAATTTACCCCTTCTTGCTACACATCTGCTGACTTCTCCTCCCTCCTCTCCTCTCACTACCTCTCCCTCCACATCAACTCCACCATTCACATCCCTGGCCACCTTATCTAGACCTGGTGATGACCTGGGGCCTTACCGTCTCTGATGTCACCATCACTGACAAAGACATTTTAGATCACTATTTTATCTCCCTTAACTCCTCCATCCCTCCTTGCCACCCACTCCACGTGCATCTCCTATCGCCTGTGGAGAAAAATCCCCCTCCATGCCTTCTCCGCGGCCCTGGAGGCATCTGAGGTCCTACCTGTCTGGCCCTCCTCCTGGAATGACCTACCCTCCTTGGTCACCCTTCTAATCAACTCCCTCTCAGCCATCCTTGACATGCTTGCTTCCATCATCTCCTGCACCTCATCCTGTTCACACAACCCACCCTGTTACACCAACCATCTCTGTTCCCTGAAAGCTCCGCCGAATGCACCTAGCGCAAATCCAGATGAACAGCCCTGGGACATCTTTATGATGTGAAGGGTGCGATACAAGGGTAATTTGTTGTTGTTGTTTTTGTTGTTGCTGTTTCTCATCGAATACTATTGCATAAGATCATAAGAATATTTTTAACAAATAACTGATAAGTAAACGATATTTGAATGTTTATTTGGAAGATAATTGACCTTCATTGCTTAACTCTTTTGTGATTCATTTCTGAGAGTGGGGAATGTAATTGGGATTGAGCTGGCTCCATGTTGGCATGCTTCGTGAAGGGAGAGTGGATCTGAATCAGAATATGAGGAGCGCATGTCCATCTGATTCCTGAGTGGAACAGGTCAGCTGGGCTCTAGGGTACAGGCGATCATTGGCTATCAATCCTGGCAGTATTACTACTAATAAATAATTGTTATTAATAATAATAATCCTTTCATTTGATATAATAATAATAATAATAATCCTTGCATTTGATATAGCGCTTTTCATGTCAGGAGGACATCCCAAAGTGCTTCACAGAACACACTGTAAAGTGAATTGACTGTATATTTGTGGGCGAACGCGGCAGCCAATTGCGCACAGCAATGTCCCACAAACAGTCGTAGATTGAAAATGACCAATTTATTATTGTTTTTTGTTTTGGAGGGATTATTATTAGGTGTGTGGAGTAAGGAAACTTGCCCAAGGTTTCGCCCTGTGCCTGGAATTGAACTCAGGTCTCTCACTTGCAAAGCGAGTGCTCTAACCACTGAGCTACAGGACTCCACAATGCCTTATCACGTCTTCGAGACATCACAAAGTGCTTCACACAATATACTGTAAAGTGAATTGATTGTATATTTTGTGGGTGAAACATAGCATGCAATTGCATACAGCAGTATCCCACAAACAGTTGTGGATTGAGTGACCAATTTATTATTTTTTTAAAGGAATTATTAACCCCAAAAAAGCAATCCGCCAATTTACTGACAACCAGGTTCCCGTTTACTGCCAGGTAAACAGAGGCGTGTGGAGTAATAAAACTTGCTCAACGTTTTGCCCTGCCGGGAATCAAAGCCAAGTTTCTCACTTGCAAAGCCAGTGCTCTAACCGCTGAGCTACAGGACTCCACGATCCTTGCATAATCCTTGCAAATGCATAAACCTTGCATTTGATGTAGAACCCTTCATGTTGGGAGGACATTGGGAGGATGTCAAAGCACTTCACATGATATATTGCATAGTGTAGTAACTGTGTATGTTGTAGAAGAATACAAGAGCTAATTTGTACACAGCACAAACAGCCATGAAGTGATTAACTCATTATATTTGCTGGCCAGGAGAAATCTCCGCCAGGAGAAATTCCCTGCTCCTTTCGAATAGTGCCATAGGACCTCTTATGGGTACCTGAACAGGGAGATGGTTTGCTTAATGTATCATCTGAAGAAAGGAAGGAAACCCTACTAGGAAGAGGGAGACATGTCTCTAGAATACTTTAATCCTGATAACTCTGATAAATCATATTTTGTTTTGTGATGATTAACTATTTGAAAACAAATAATAATAATAAATAATCCTTGCGTTTGACATAGCGCCTTATCACGTCTCAAAGCACTTGGCAGGATTTACTGTGATGCGGAGTGATTGTATATTTGTAGGCAAATAATGTCTCATCCGAAGGATGGCACCTCCGACAATGTAACACACTCCCAGCACTGCATTGGAGTGCCAGCTTAGGCTGTGTTAGTTCAAAGCCCGATCTGAATCACAATATGTGAAGACATGATGATCTGATTCCTGAGTGGCACAAGTCAGCTGGGTTCCAAGGTTCAATAGATAAGCTGACTCCAGGGTCCAGTAAATAATACTACAATGAGGGTAAAATATAAGAATGGATTAATTGTTTTTATTTGAATTTCACAGGTTTGCCCATGGTTACCATGCTTCTGGCAATGGTTGGTAAATGTGCCATTACAACAGCCTTCAATATAGTTTATATTTACTCAATGGAGCTCTATCCAACTGTGGTGAGAAACATGGGGGTTGGGGCATGTATTATGGCATCTAGAGTTGGTGCCATATTCTCCCCATATTTAACTTATCTTGGTAAGTAAGAAGTTACCAACATGTTGTTTCACAGTTGGTAAGGTTTTGAAAACCTTACAGTAATTATTTCAAAGCAGCTTTCTATTATTTATGTACACCTATCAGATTATTGCAATATTGAGACAAATTGGGATAAGGACACTTTTATTTTCTGCTATTTTTACATCACAGTGGGATCTCCGAAATACTCATTCCAGTGTGCAACCTTGATGTTCTATTTGACCTTCAGCTCTGCATCATACCTCATATTGATTATTTGATAAAAATTGCTTTTTTCTTTTTCCATACCTTTGTTCCCTAAGGACACTAATAATAATAATAATAATAATCCTTGCATTTGATATAGCGCTTTTCACGTCGGGAGGATGTCCCAAAGCGCTTCACAGAACACACTGTAAAGTGAATTGACTGTATATTTGTGGGCGAACGCGGCAGCCAATTGCGCACAGCAATGTCCCACAAACAGTCGTAGATTGAAAATGACCAATTTTATTATTGTTTTTGGTTTTGGAGGGATTATTATTAGGCGTGTGGAGTAAGGAAACTTGCCCAAGGTTTCGCCCTGCCTGGAATTGAACTCAGGTCTCTCGCTTGCAAAGCGAGTGCTCTAACCACTGAGCTACAGGACTCCACACGACTCCACTAGACTCCACTGGAGAGAACTCCCTTCTCTATTTAAATATACTTCGAGGTTAGACTTCAGTGATCTCTTCACTAGAGTTCCATTCTACTTCAGCTTCAAATCATTCAAAACTCTCAGCGTGTATCCTCTCCTGAGGCTATGTTCTACACACCCATGACACCCATCCTCATCAGGCTCCATTGTCTCCCGCCTGACCCGCCTGACCATCGGTGGCCGGGCTTCCAACCTCTCAGCCCCCACACCCTGGAACTCCATCCCATAGTCCCTTTGCCTTGCCTCCTCCCTTGCCACCTTCAAGGCCGGTCTCAAGACCCTACTCTTCGATTGTGCCTTTGGTCTCCCTCCCACCTCTCTGCCTTCCCTCACCCTCACACCACCTCTCCCCCATGCTTGGGCCCCAACATCTGACTGTTCAGGGCTTTGGGACATCCTCCTGACGTAAAAGGCGGTCTATAAATGTAATTTTATTGTTGTTGTTGTTGCCCAACATTTTGCCCTGCCGAGAATCAAACCCAAGTCTCTCACTTGCGAGGCGACTGGTCTAACCACTGAGTTACACTACTTGGTCATTTTAACTGGGGGGTTGTTGACCAGGACACCAGAGGGAATTCCCTTCTCTGTTTAAATAGTGTCATGAGATCTTTAGTGTCCACCTGAAAGCGATCTTTGTTTAACATCACTTCCGAAAAACACCTCAAACAATGTAGTATCCCCCCAGCACTAGATTGGTGTGTCAGCCGACATGTGATATTGACTCATGTCGAACGATTTGTAGACCATGGTGTCATAGATAATGTATGGAATAAATATGGCACAGAGTGAACCTATGATAAGAGAAGCAAGGACTTATTTACCTCTGTGCTTAGATGATAAAATAAGGTGAGAGGAGTTTGTCTATTTAGAGTAGGTCTTTATCTAGTTAGGAATAGAGTCCCACTGTGAATACTTGGAAGTGCTTAATAAGATTCTTCTGCACATATTAAATACATTAGTATATTTTAAAATGTCTCAAAATATTTGAATTTTTAATCCAAATTCAAAAATGCATTTCATTTTTTTTATATGAGTGCTTTATTAGTGTTTAGATAGCAGAATTTTATAAAACCCAGTTCCTTGTAATACTGTCTCTTTCTGTTTGATAGGAACGTATAACAAGGTGTTGCCCTTCATGCTAATGGGATTCTTTACAATAGTAGCTGGAGTTGTCTGTTTAATCTTACCTGAAACACGTGATGGATCTCTTCCGGACACTGTTCAGCAGTCACAGCCAGTTAGATGGTAAGTCTATGGTTTAGGAAATATGGTTTATTTTCTGTGTGGGGCATCCATGCTTTCTTTAGCTCTTCCCAACTTTCTTTTTTCTAACTGATTTTGCTTTAGCTTTCATTTGGGTGAACATAATGGAATGCTTTTCTGATGGATGGACCAGGTCGTGCCAGTGAAGTAGCATGTGACATGTAGCAAACATGAAGTTAAAGTGAACACATGTAGAATGTAACCACCCCTCCCACATGTTTTTCACTGCTGGATTAGCTCCAAAGAGCCCCCAAATTAATAAGGTGTCAGTGTAATATTTTTTTCTCTAGAAGGTGAAAAGGCCCTATTTGAAAGGGGTTTGAATAATTTAAAGATATTTTCTGTTGGGTTTGCACAAAATTAAATGTGGCATTAAATCAGATATTTTATTCAGAAATACTACAAAAATTATTAGTGTGGTGAATGGAGAAATATGCATTGATTTAATAGGAGAATCTTTTCAAAGACACATTGGTGGCCTGGTATAGAGTTTACGTTGCTTCTGGTTGTGTTTTTTTCTGAGCTGGGAGCGCTTGATGAACAGGACAAATATTAACAATAATCCTCACATTTGAGATAGTGCCTTTCAATGTCGGGAGGACATCTCAAACTGCCGTACAAGATATCCTGTAAAGTGTATTAACAGTAATTTGTAAATGAATTTGGCAGCCAATTTGTGCAATGTCCCACAAACAACCATGGAGTGAATGAACAATGTTATTAAAGATATTATTGGCCAGTGACACCAGAAGAAACTCTCATCTCTTTTCGAATAGTACCTTGGTATCTTAATATTCACCTGAACAGGCAGATGGGACCTTGCTTTAATGCGTCATCCAAAGCATTGCACCTCTGATGATTCATGTGCAAATCATGTGCTGATTGACTGCTGCATTCACCCACAAAATATGCAGTCACACCACTTTACAAAATATCCTGTGAAGCGCTTTGAGACATCTCAACAACATGATAAGTGCTAAATCAAATATAAGGATTATTATTATTGTTGTTGTAATGATTATTTTCTCAGCTCCAAAAATCTGGGTAGGAGAGTCCTCTTTAGTCTGCTGTCACTAAAGAGACAAATAATCCCATTCACTGTGTTGTTTCAAAAGATTGGCCTTGTGTGAGTGCCCCATGTGCACTGTTTGGGAGTTTTTTACTTAAGATCTGATAGAACAAAGATTCCTCAGATCAGATACCTACAAGCCTTTGTTGTTTGATACCTTGTCCAAAATGAACCCTTTAATACCTTTTTATTGAACTGAGCTCTTCACCGTCACTGATTTAACTTGGGTGATTCCCATAGGAGTCAGGCTGACACATAAAATGAATCAAATTGAAGCTTTCGTCTATGTTTGATTTTCCTGCTGTTGTTTCAGGTGTAAAACCAATAAGAATCAAATCATTACCATGGCAGAAAGGAACGAGATTGCTCAGAAGGAAAGGTTGACCATCAAAGTGGATGCTGTCTGAACATTGCTTAAAGTGCTGCAATTTATAGGCAATTCGCCTCAGAAAATGGGAGGGAGGTGGGAAAACATTTAAAAAGAAGGGCAACACATTTAAATCCACAACAAATCAAATTCCCAACAGTATTTTAAGGAAGGCTCTTTCAAACAACTTCCACTACACAATGTAACTCAATATTTATGAATCATTTAAGATTTTGTTTTACCAAAAATACAAAGATAATTGATAAGAAGAAAACATTTTCTTCTGAACTTTACTTTAAAAAAAAGCTGCACAGAAGGTCACTGGGGAGGTGATTGATCTGCACAGTGTGGACAAATCGAGTCCCTGCTCACCCTCACTTTGCACATGCACACAATCTTTTTTATGGTATTGCAAAGGTAAAGTGTAGGATTAGAGATAGTCATTGACTTCGAAAGTTAAAGAGAGATGGAAACAGACAGAAAGTTAGACTGTAGCCTTTTTGTGTAATGTCCAATTATCTGCACTGTCTCCTTGTCCATAATAGGATTGGTCTCAATTAGTGTGAATGTTTGCTCTTTCTAATGTATCAATAATTATATTCATGAATAAAGCAACCATTATATTAGAAGCTATCTTGCTTACTGATTCCAAAATATGTTAACATTTTTAAATCACGATTTAGCTTCGGATTTCGAATCGAATTCCCTCTCCCAATTTGTTTGACTAACCTCCTTGGGTGTAGGTAGGTGGGGTCCTCTTAGAGCTGAGCTTGCTGTAATGTTTGCAACTGAATGTCAGAATTGAGCCAACTCTCTCTGGCAGACTCAGTAATCCAGTTCCTAAACTAGCTAAGTGTATAGTTACTCCAGGGCACTGGTGATGAAGGCAGGACTTGGAAGGGTAGACCAGAGACTGTGGACAGGAACTTTTCCCAGTCAGATCCCGTTACCCCTGCAAGCGAAAGCCATAATAGCTAGGGTGGTCCTAGCTGGACAAGCAGCAGGAAAACTCACTAGACAGTGTTATCAATAGCAATCTATACGGTTTTAGCTGGTTGGACTCCAGCAGTACCCCAATGCATTCTAATAAATATCTAATTTCAATAAATATCTCGGGAATTTCAAATTATAAGTGGGATACATGGAACTCTCAGTTTGGTTTAGATACTGTTAAGCATGGTGATGGGTTTTCACATGTCAAACACCTGGATGACCAAAATATCCTTCTCAATTTTGGATTCTGGATAGTCTACAACATTTGTAGATAAGAATTGGAGAGTCCAGTGAGCAGGGTGTTAGCATAGTTAAGCCTGGACATCGTGAAAATGTGGATGAGGGACTCTGTAACCTGGGGAGAGGTAGTGGTGGAGGCGGGCAATGTTACGGAGATGAGGGAAAGCTGAGGGAGTAAAAGTATAGTATTGCTTATCGTGTGACCACATATCAATGATTGCATTGTACATCTATAAATTTTCTGAAAAAAAGAATTACTTTTCATAAAGTAATTTTCTATAACCTGCTTGTTTCTTCAGAGTTCAACCCATTTCTGAGATATAATGAAGGATATAAAATATTCCCAATGTTTCTTCAAAACTGGGGAAGAAATTCCTCAATTTTTTGCCACACTTCAGCACAATCAGAGTTCAGAACAATCTGAGGTCTTAACCAGCCTCTGTTTACCTAGCAGTAAGTAGGAACCCAGATGTTAGTCGATTGGGGATCGCTTTACTAGTGGTAATAATGCCTTCAAAAAAAAGTCACCAAATTCATGACTGTGGGGACACTGCTGTGAGCATTTAGCTGCCGCATTTCATACACAAAATATGCAGTCAATTCACTTTACAGTATATTCTGTGAAGCGCTTCGAGGCGTTTTGAAGAAGTGAGATAGCACCATATCAAATGCAAGGAATATTATTATAAGGTTAAATTGTCTCAAAATGCTTTACAATAATTACTGTCACATGCAGGATTTATGTTTTGTAGGCACCTGAGTCAGCTATATATGATAAATAGTAATAATCCTTGAATTTGATATAGTGCCCTTTCATGTCAGGAGAAACTCAGATTTATCTGAGTGGGGCACAAAATTGAGGAATTTCATCCCACAGTTTTGAAGAAATATTGCGAATAAGCAATACTGTGCTTTTACTCCCTCAGCTTTCCCTCACCTATGTTACATTACCCACCACTGCAACTATTTCTCCCCAGGTTACAGAGTCCCTCACCCACATTTTCATCACATCCACGCTTGACTATGCTAACACCCTGCTCAATGGATTCTCCAACCCTTATCTACAAAAGCTGTAGATTATCCAGGTGTCTGACATGTGGAAAGCCATTGCCATTCTTAACAGTATCTTAAGCAAACTCAGAGTTCCATGTATCCCACTTATAATTAGAAATTCCAGGCTGGGCGGTGGATGTGGAGAAGGCTAGAGTCTGCTGAGTGGTGGGAGCAGACAGGTTGACAATGGGTAAGCAGGTCCGAGAGGTAGGAGGGGGCAAGACCATAGAGGGCCTTTAAGGTGAGGATGAGAATTTTGATCTTAATTCTCTTGGGATACAGAGCCAGTGGAGCTGGGTGAGGGTAGTGTTGATGGGATCACGGAGCCTGGTGCGGGGGAGGACATGAGCTGCAGCGTTCTGGATGATCTGCAGCTTGTGGAGTAAAGAGTTTGGAAGGCTGACAAGCAGGGCATCGGGATAGTCGAGCCTGGATGTAATGAATGCATGTATGAGGGTTTTGGCGGCCTGAGAGGTGAGGCAGTGGTGGAGTTGGGCAATGTTGCAGAGGTGGAGAAGGGAGAGCTGGTCATGACATGGATGTGAGGGAGAAAGTACAGTTGAGGGTTGAACAAGACGCCAAGTTTCCTGACTGGCTTCGTGAGGTGGAGTGTGCACCCTTGAATGCCTAAGGTCTGGAGGCAATGGCACAAGCCAATCAGAGGAGCCTCGATCTTGCTGACATTCAAGTGTAGAAAGTTGGCTGTCATCCAGGACTTGATAGAATGGTCCACAGTGTCAAAGGCAGCAGAGAGCAACAACAACAACATTTTTAAAGCGTCTTTCACATCGGGAGGACATCCCAAGGTGCTGAAGAGTAGGGGATCAGGACCCGAGTGTGGGGGTTAGGGTGAGGGAGGGCAGAGAGGTAAGAGGGCGGCTGAAGACATAGTCGAAAAGGAGGATCTTGAGTCATAACTTGAAGGAGGCAAGGGAGTGAGTAAGGCATAGGGATTGTGGGATGGAGTTCCAAAGAGTGGGGGCAGAGAGGCTGGAAGTCCGACCACTGATGATAGGGTGGGTCAGGTGGGAAACATGGAGCAGGGCGGAGCCTGCTGAATGGCGGGAGCAGACATGTTGATAGGGGATAAGTGAAACTGTTTTTAGGGGGATGAGAACAATGCCAGATGATAGGAAGATATTGATGGTGTCGGAGAGTAGAAGGACAAGGAGATGGAGCGGGGAAGTAAGGAGAAGGGTTGGAATGGGATAAAGAGAACAGGTGTTGTGTTTCATGCTAAATGTAGTGGTGATGAGAGAGGAGGGGGAAATAGGTTCGAAAATATGAAGAGAGGGGTTGGAGTGTGAGGGAGAGATGGGGAGGGAGTGGCAGTTGGGATCGGGGAGGCAGCTGAATGGATCTCCTCGATTTTGGACTCAAGGAAATCCAGCATTTCCTTGCAGTCAGAGCTTGAGGAGAGAATGAGTGAGGCGTGGGAGGGTGGACGAAGGAGTCGGTGGATGTTGGAGAATAGTAGCCTGGGGTTATCCTTCGCCTCCAAGATTATCTTGGAGTAGAAGGACAATTTGGCTGAGGCAAGATGGACAGATCCACCAGAGGCGAAATCCACAGATGGGCAGAGAGTCATTTGTCACCTTGACCAAGGCTGTTTCCATGCTATGGGCTGCACGGACACCCGGTTGGAGGGGTTTGTAAAGGGAATGGCAGGAGAGGAAGGAGTAAAGCTGGGAAGCAACAACTCTTTCAAGGATTTTGGAAAGGAAAGGGAGGTTGGAGATGAGGCTGCAGTTAGTGATCAGGGATGGGTCCAAGGAAGGTTTTTTTTAGGATCGGGATGATGACAGCTGTTTTTAGTGGGGTGGGAACAGTGCCATTTGACACGGAGAGATTGATGAGGTCTGAGAGTAAAAGGATGAGGAGTTAGAGCTGGGAGGTAAGAAGATGGGCGAGGAGTGAGAGGGTGGATGGAGGAGCCAGTTGGTAGTGGAGAAGAGAAATCTAGGGTTGTCCTTGGCCTCCAAGAATATTTGAACCAGAAGGATGATTTAGCAGAGGCGAGGGCGGAGCTGTAAGTTTTGATGTGGTCCAGCCACAACTGCTGGTTGACCGTTAATCACATTTGAGCCAGGTGAATTTGGCGGCATGCACCTGACCCTTGAGTGAGCGAAGGTAGCTGGTGTACCAGGGTGAATGCCCGAGTAGGGCGTGGTTCGGGATGTGAGGGGGGCAATAGCATTGAGAATGGTAGAGATGGAATTGTGGAGGAGAGTGACCGAGGAAGATAACTCAGTGCACGAGCTGGGCCATAGGGGGAGGAGTTGAGACAACTCCAGGATAGCGGAGAGGGAGTGCATGCAGATTCTTTTCCAGGAACAGTCGGAGATGGAAATGGGCTGGGTGGTGTTGGGGAGAGGGATTAAGCTGTTAAGAGAGATGAAATGGTGATCTAAGATGGCTTTATCGGTAATTGTGAGGTCCGAGACACTGAGGTCCCACGTAATCACCAGGTTGAGTGGGTGGCCATGGATGTGGGTGGCAGAGTGGATGTTGAGGGAAATGTTTTGAGAGATGAGAAGTCAGTGGAGTTAGAGCAAGAGCGAGTGCAGTGCAGGTTGAAGTTGCCTAAGATGAAGAGGCATTCAGAACAGAGTTGGAGGGAAGCTAGGAGGGTGGAGATGTCAGAGATGAAGGTGTGTGAAGGTTTGGGGGATGATATATCAGGAGAATTTTGAGAGAAAGATTGAAGGGATGTTAGGGGGTAAGGTGCTGGAAGGAGAGGAATGAGCCGGAGGAGTAGGGGAATAGAGAAGTGAGGACCTGGATATGAGAGCAACACTACCGCCATGGCAGTTAGGACTTGGGGTATGGTGGAAGGTATAGCCAGGTGGTGTGGCCTCAATCAGAGGGAAGTGTCGGCTGGGGTGATCCAGGTTTCAGTGAGGGCCAGGATATCGATGTTTTTATCAATGATGATGTTGCTGATGACGAGAGCCCTGTTAGAAAGGGAGCGAACATTTTGAAGGCCAATGCAGAGGGGACAGTTGCCAGGGGAATGTGTGAGATGGGAGGGCATGATGGACTGATTGGCAGGGAGGGTGAGAATGAGGATGAGGGAGGAGAGTTTAGGCTCCGGGGTCTGGGTTTGGCGGTGCCTGCAGTGATTGTGGAGAATGGGGCAGTCAGTGTGGCTGCTGCTGAACAGCCAACGCAAGTGCCACTGTGAGCCTGATGGATGATTTCTAGGCTGGAGCAGAAGGAGGCTGTTGGATGGTCAAGTGGGAGTAGGAGTCGAGGAGGTCGGAGAGAAAGGAGGACACAACGGAGAGTTGCAGAATAGGGAGCATTTTGGGGGGAAAGCAGCAGTCAATTAACATGTTTTGCACATC